TCTTGGACGGTGAAAACGTGCCTTAAAGAAGGTGTGCAAAACATATTTCCTTGGTACATGCATAGTCTTTGGACGGTTCTCTTTAATGAAGAAACAGTCAAAACTGAGTTGGCCGGTGCACACTCATTTATGCTAAACTTATCGTACCCAATTTAATCTTTGTCCATTTTTGGCTAAAAAAGGGGAGATAGTTTGTATGTCTATCCTAGCTGTGTGTTGCACCTTACAACACATAAATGATCTCTTGTTAGGGTCTGAGTCTGTTCTTGCAGTTTTTTTGCAAGGATGTTGGATAAGATGCTCTAACATCCTGTCTGTGACTTTGTTCGTATTATTCTGAGTCTTTTTTGTGTGTCTTGTGATCTGAGTTATGAACACAATTGTGTCTTGTGTTCTGAGTTATTTGGAACTGGGGTCTGCTCCTCTAAACCCTGATATGAATAATGGAGGGTGGTATATTAGGATTGATTTTGAAGGGGAGTGTCTGGTATCTTCTGTCTCATGTACACCAGGGTTCAAGATACACGTCGTATAACAGGTGGTGTATGTTGTACAGGAAGAATGAAAGCTTCTAGGAGGTTCATTATTTTCTGCTAGACTCGTCATAGGCCGGCTGAAATGACTTCTGGAATTGTTATTCTTCTTCTCTTTTACTTCCTGGGTTTACTGTGCAAAAGGAGTTTTAGCCAAAATTTGTCAAAAGAGGGAGATTGAAGGCTATAAGATTTGACTAAATTTTGGTAAAACATGATGTTGCACAAGATGTTCTAACAAAAATATTTTTGTAAAGAACAACATGTCCTATCTTAAGGACTCAACATCTTAATCTGATACAGCAGGTTTGGTGCAGATTTGTTTCAAAGTTTAAGGTGCAATCAGAACATGGATCAAGGAAAGATTAGGTTGTGACCTCAAAGCCCATGGACCACTGAAGATTATAAAAGGAAGACCAAGACCTAGAGCAATGTACTAATTTTCTTGTAAATTAATTATAAGGGTTTATATTTTTGAAAGTCGGGTGATTTTCTTGTATTGTAAGTCACCTTTTATATTAGTTGATACATTATGGTAGACATAGTTTTACACATTCAAAAACCTATAGGTAATGAATTGTATATTGTTCTTGAATGAAGCTTTTAATAAAATCCAAATATTAATGTTAGTCAAGAGTCTTGACTGAATATTTTTTTGAAAGGGGTGTCTTTCAATTGAATAGTTTGATACAGTCACTGAAGGTTGTGACTGTTAGATATCACTGAGGTGATTTAGGAATTGAAATGGGTTTCTCTTATCTAGATGGTGATTTCTAGGTAAAAGTTGCACTGGGTAGGGATTAAGTGAGGGATTGTAAACGAGGGAGTTTAACTATGAATTAATACTACTGATAGTGAATTCATTCATGGCTTGGTAGCCTCCAGATGTAGGTGTTGTTGTACACCAAACTAGGTCATCATATCTTGGCGTTATTTATCATTCTGTTATGAATATTGCAGTTCTTTTTCTTGCTATTAAATACATGTCTTAACAGATGTTGAAACACCTATCATTACTCTGTTATGATCCTGAGATATCAGATTGTTCTGGTCTGTTATGCCCTTGTTTAGTTATGAAGAGATCAATGTCTCGACATCTCTTGGGACATCTGAGATCTGCATACTAGAATTTCAACATTGATAAGTATAACTTGTTTTCTAATATAACTTAATATCTCATATTATAATTTTCGAATTCAACCGGAAAAGTTATATATTCGGTAAGGGGTTGGAAAAACACTCAAACCACATAAGATATAATAAACTCATCTCTAAATAAGCCTTTACAATAACATTAATCAACAATAAACATTACTCAACATACAAGATGCAACAAACAACTTTTATTAATAACAACAAAATCATCAACAACATAGCATAAACAACATACAACTTATAACATTTATTACTAACAACAAACGACTTTTATCAACAACAACATATTAACTCATAAAATATTTCATGAACATAACTGTCCCAGAATGACATCCACAACGAAATGCGGGTGAAGTTGAAGTGAGAGGTGCAAATCTGTGTTAAATTTGAATGAATATCATTCTGAGGCCTTCAAAATTTTTTGCAGTGCTCACTTTACCTTCACCCTCCTTATATTTTTCCTTCATAGCAACACAAACTATTTGTGAACCACACCCATAATACAGGGTTTCTTGAGTTAATTTTTTTTCATTTACTTTCTTTACCTACAAGTCAAAATGTATTAGCATGGCATTATAATTATAACAAATGTAGCTAATTCACTTATATAATCCATACATTTCTATAATCTATAAACCAACAAATTTTTTACTCATCTTAAGTTATACATGTCATATTATCCTATAAACAACATGGCGAAACATAAGCAATGATACATAAACAACATAGTTAACTTCTTAGGTTATACATTCACTCATATTAAGTTAACTTCTAAATAAATTTAGAAACATAAGCTATTGAACCATGTAAGAACCTATATATAATATATTGTGAAGATTAATCTATAACATAACCATTTCCTAAGATTTGATGGAGTTAAATCACATTTTGTGTTGGAAATTCACCTCACACCCTATGAAGAATTCCCTTCAATCTTGATCTCAAGATTGATGAACAAACCCACAATATGATAATGATGGTAATAACAAGTAATTATCAAGAACAACAAAAGAGAAGAAGAATAACAAACAAGAAAGAAAAGAATGAGAGAAGAAGTATTTGGAGAGAATGTGTTACCCACAACTGTGGGATTTCTTATTGAACTTTCACTTGCTAACTGCAACTGTGAAATCTGTTCTGTTGTGATGTAGAATACAAAGCAAGGCACCCTATTTATAGTTTTAGGTTTACACTAGCCCAAAACATAAAAGGCCCAAAATATTCTAAATCAAATCTAATCATATGATATCAAATCTAATCATATGATATCAAATCTAATCATATGATATCTAATCATATCATATCAAATTAATCATATGATATCAAATCTAATCATATGATATCAAATCTAATCATATCAAATCACAATGAATTATATTTAACATTTTGTAAGCTTTGATGCAACAAAGGTAACCATTCAAAGAAGACGAGTTTGCTGTATGAGTTTGGTGTTTCATTTTTACATATTTGTGAAGAAAGATTGTCAAAACGTTAATGGACATTAGGATATATGAAAGAGACAAGTGAGAGAGAGGTTATGGTTTTGTTTTAAGGAAGACGATTGTTATATACTGAAGTAAGATAAATTCACACACACACACACACACACACACACACATATATATATATATATATATATATATATATATATATATATATATATATATATATATATATGTATATATATATATATATATATATATATATATATATATATATAAAAGGACAAACTGTTTTTGTAATGAAAAAATAAAAAATTGTTGGTGTTGAGATTCGAACCCATATACTTCTGATATATTTCACCATAGTTATTAATGTTGTTGCGTAAACCACTACTATAAAATATATATTTCATAACACCATATTACAAGGTGTATTTAGTTAATCGTAGTAATAACTATTTTTTTGGCGCCTTTTATTTTAACTGTGGTGAAATGTTAATTACTGTGGTGAAATGTACCAATGCTTCACTCTATCAACCATAGTGTAATATGATAACATTTCATCACGATTCTTACTATCAACCTATCAACCGTAGTGATAAACCTTTTAATAATAATATAATATAAATTAAAATATAATATAATTTATTGTTAGAATATATGAGGCAAATGAATACTAAAGTATTCATACAAATATCTCTGTTTATTTTGTGAATAATTTATTTCAATTGTGCTATTTTAACACTACTTTTTTTTACACCTGCATCCTACACCGTATAAACCAACAAGAAAAATGCTATACATGAAAATCAAAGTTAAATAAATTATTTAAAAAATTGAATTAATAGATTGTATGCATACCAATATAGTGTACTAGTGTAGTGTTAAACATTAGTGTAAAAATATCGTTTTCCTAGTTGTATTGGTGCAGCCGTTGCAACCTTGTTAAAATTTAATTACTCTCTCCTTTTTTATTATAAAATATTTTGGATTATATGTATTCAAAAAATAATCAATAAAAATTATAAAAAAATTTATAATATTATTATTTATTAAGTGTATAGAAAATATAAATTTAAATAATTGAAAGAAGAGATGTAAAAATATAATAAAGAAAAACATAAATCTTTGATATTGCAAGTAAAATTTTTTTTTAATTGTTTATGATATAAATTTTATTCGAAACAATTTATAAAAAATGGAATGAGTATATAAAATGTTTAAAGTGTTTAACTATTTTATGTTTAATAAATTCGATCTAAAATGGTTAATTACTTCGCTGTAATCATGACAGATGATCCAAGTTTGTTATAGTTGAAAGTATGAAGTTCTATTTCCTCGCATTTCATTATTTCTCTCAGTTGTTTATTCAAGGACATTAATTGCATATGAGTAAAGTAAATTAAACTTTATTGTCTCCACCTTTGTGCTAGTTCTAAACATGGAAATGAATTATTTCAAATTTGATTTAAATGAGAGATGAGATTTATTTCATTTTAAATCTTTTAAGTGTATTGATTTTCTCTTTTAAATTGCGAAAGTGTATACTTTACTCTTTTATAAAAAAACTAAAACATAAATTCAATTTGATTTTTTAAATAATTAAATAAAGTGAATTATTTAATAGAACATGGAGAGCTGAAATGAAGAAGAAATGCAAAAGTCATATTTAAGTTGAAGAGAAAATGTTATTGAACGTGAACGGCTAAGAATCAATAGAAAAATAAACTACATTAATTTAAAAATAAAAAACTAAAACAAAAAATTATCCACAATTACATTTTGTGACAAAAAAAAAAAAAGAATATATTTAAATGTGTGTATGTACTATCATCTTTCTCTGCTAAAAACTTACACATTCTTTCAAAAGTTACCGGTGAAGAAACCTCCTGGCAGTAGATCTAAAAGGACACGAAGAACTGACAAACCCATCAACAAGATGCATATACGTCTTCAAATCATGACACGTGGCAATATTCACACTTTTCAGGTACGGCGAATCTCTGCTACATAACCGTAACTCCTCCCCAACCTCACAGTACACCCACCTCATCTCCTCCACTCGCTTTTGTATCCACCGTGGCAAATACCACGCCACGTCATCAACTTCCCCATCCACGTCACCTTCCATGTCATCATCCACGTCACTGTCAAAAACAAACCCAGGCATTTTTGTTACAACATCGTCTGAGTTCACTATCCGTAGCACTTTAATGGATTCTTTTTCTAGAAGTGACCGGAAGCTCCGGTTGCCGACGCGCGGACCGCCGAATGAGATTACCGTTACCAACGGTTTCCGGTGGAAGCTTGTTTTGAAACATGTTCTAATGTCGTAAGCGGTTAATATCGCTAATGCTGATCCTAAACTGTGTCCTGTTATAGTAAAACTCAGATTTTCACCTTTGTATGTTTTGAGAATTCGATCGATTTCTCTTCTTATTGTTTCTTGTAAAGATGGAACTTCGTTAGAACATTTTGAAGTGTAGAGACTAAGAAACCCACTTTCTACCATGGGTTGATTGTTTTTTTCATGATCGATGAAGATTCCACGAGGACTAGGACCAGGACTATTGTTGTTGCATTGCAATGAGTTAATGTTGGTTAGAGTAGCGCGAAGATTCTCGAGCCATTCTAAGCATGTTGTTGTTCCGCGAAATGCGATGACAACGTCTCTTCGACCGAGTCGTTTGATTTCGTGTTTGTTGTTGCAGACGGCGATGTAGCCAATGTAGCTTGATTTTGTTGCGACCCATGATGGTGCTTTGTCGATCCAACTAGGTAGTTGGATGGAGGAAGTTGCATGCAAGTGTTTGGTTAGTTTGTAACCGGTTTTTGGTAGGCCGCATTTTTTGAAGAGTGTGGTTTTGGGGAACTTGTTGGTGGCGTAGTTTGGGGAAGACGGGTCGAATTCGAAGGATTTATATGCAGCTTCGACGAAATGGCCGTAGCGAAGGATTTCGGAACGGAGGTTGTTGTCTAATGGGTCTAGTAAGCCTTTCCAATTGGTTATTCCTTGGTATTCTTGCCATTTTTTGCTAACTTTTGTTGGTAATGGTAATGGTTTTGTTGGTGATGTTGTTGATTTTGATGATGAAATGTTTGTTGTTTTGTGTATGGTTTTTAAGGTTTCGTGAGAGTGTTGTTTTGTGTTGGGTTTGAGTGGTTGAATGAGTGTTATGCATTGTGGTTTGATAGTGAAGGTTGTGGTTTTGGAGAAAGAAATGTGGGTTGTGGCGTGGCTTAAGGGTGTCATAGTGAATTGAGAGAGTGTTGAGAATATATGGAGTATATTAGAATGAGGGAACTTTGTTATGTGCCTCTTGTTGTGGTTTTGGGAGGGAAATTTATGAGTGAGTGATAAAGAATTTATAGGGGAGAAATAGAGAGTGTGTGTGATTGAGTGGAGTGATATGATATGAGAGAAAAAATAGAGGTATACAAGTAAGATAATCAATAAACATAGAAAGATTTTGGAAATTGAAAAATGAGAAATGATATTTTGATACTTATTTCTTACACTACACCATATTTCACTGTTCATCAATACGGTAAACAGTGAAATATTATAAAATTAAATATATTTAAAAAAAAATTTCTTTTATTTTTAAATTAAATGATACTGATATAAAATTGTGTGATTAACCAACTTCATAACTCCATTAACCAACATCTTATATATTATTAACCAACTTTATTTACTGTTAAAAATTATTTTTAATTCTGCGTGTTTATTAATCAACTTCATCACTTTATTAACCAACTTTTTATACTTTATTAACCAACTTTGTTTCATGATTTTTTATTAATCAACTTCATCACTTCATTAACCAACTTTTTATACTTCATTAACCAACTTTGTTTCATAATTTAAAAAATTATTTACGAATACTGTTCATGAGCACTGTTCATGCACTGCTCATGGTACTGTTCATACTGTTGTGACACTGTTCATGTACTGTTCACCGTATTGGTGAATAGTACATACGGTATAGTGTAAAAGTGGGTGTCAAAATAGCGTTGCTGTTGAAAAATGTATCATTGTTTTCTTATACAGGTTTGCTATGTTTACACCCATTCCTACACCCTACACCCAATTTAGTTAATAGTATGTATAGATTTTTGTGGTTAATGCAACTGTGAAGTTGGTTAATGCGCAATCTTATATTTGTGTTATAAAATAAATTTTAAAAATAAGTATTTTTTTTTTAAAATTAATATTTTAAAAAATATATTATTTTAATAAAAAAATACTGTTCACCGTATAAATAGGATGAACAGTGTATACGGTATAGGTATTTGGGTGTAAAAAAGGTGTAACACTAGCATTTCTTTTTCTTATAATATTTTGATTTTCTTACAACGCATGAACAAAATATACCTTCATTTTTTAGCAGAGGTTGGTGTAAATACTTGATTAATAAATCTTCTATTTTAAAATAAGAATAGTTTTAAGTTCCTTTTTTATATTTTTATACTATATTAATGACGTCTTTATTTTCTTATTAATGTATAGTATATATTTATGATTAAAATTATTCAAAGATTTTTGTATGAAAATCCATTTTATAGGAGTGAATTTTCACTAAATTCGAAAAGGTTAAATGAGTAGGTGAAAAATTAAATAAAGATTTTGTAAAAGAAAAAGTTTAAAATAGATGGTTTCATATTTTGTAAGGGTATATGTATGAGTATATGAGTATAAAATAGTTTTTTCGCATTTTAGATATTAACAAATTGACTGCAATCCCATACTCAAAGGGCAACCCAATATGTATAGAGATCAATATTATGAATAAGAGATTTTTTTTTTCTCAATTCAAGTAAAAAACATATCTAATAAATTTGATTATTTATATATTTATAAGTACTTTTAAAAAAAACACTTGTTTTGATTCCAGTTGGTATTTTGGTGAAAAACATCTTTATGCAATGTTCACCGGCGACCACCATTGATTTTATTCAGTGTGGTGATGTTATTTTCGGTTTTGAAAAAAAAATTGGCATAACGAAATTATTGAGACGAGTCGCGTACTAGGTCGTTTTCTTTAAGACGTTTTGTCGTACTGCCAAAATTATACAATGCAGTCACATTTCGACGACATCTCTAGGATAAAACAGTTTGTTCAAAAATTACGATTATCACTTGCCCTGAGATAAATCGTTCGTAGAGATACACCTTTAGATGGTGTTAAAACCACTCGTATTTGAAAGTAAATTCAGTGGACGATGGTGCGATAAACCACTTGTTAATCAGAAAAAGAAAAATTATAAATGAAGTGAATGAAAAGAGGAAGAGAGATTCCAGAAAAATTTAGAATCTGGAGTATTTTTTCACCTGAGCACAATATAATTTATAGTCATGAACCTGATATAATGGAGAGAAAATAGTGGGAGAGTGGAGAAAAAATAGTGGGAGAGTTGAGAGAAAAAATGGGAGGGAGTTATTAATTTAAAACTAGGTTAAGACTAAGTTTTGATGAGTGACTCATTATAATTATTAATTAATAATTAATTAATATTATTAATTATTTAATTTTTACATAATCAAATAGAATTGTCTTCCATTAATTAATTGGATGACCTTTTCAAATTCACATAAAGTTTTTCAATAATCTCCCAATTGAATTTAAAAGGTAATTTTAGAAGTAACGTCAAACGTTTTTAAGATTGTGCATAAGCAAAGGTGTCTACGACTTGAACCTTTGCGTAGCAAGTAGGATTTCGATTAAACAAGAGTGACACCGTTGTCTTGAACTCTATCTCAGACACCAAACCCGCACACAACCTTTTCTTAAGGTGTATTCTAATAGTTTGTGCTTTAATGGCCCTGCAGGTGTATCCCGGTTTAGTGAAGGCTATAGGAATTCTGCCTCAAAATTCCATAGGAATCGGCGTAAGTTCCACAGTCACAAAGGCGAGTCTATCAAGAGTACTCCTGTAGCCTAGGTACTCCCTCATACAGATTATAGATCACATTAAGAGTTTCTATTATCTCATCCTCTTATTACTTCAGGATTCATGCTTCACGTGCATGATCATCTCATATTGCTCACGACTTGTTATTGCTCATTGAACCTATTTCTTGGGATCTCTAGTCATCTAGGTCGGGTTACCATCATGAGCAACTCATTTCTTTATAGGCATTAGTCCCATCTTCTTATGTGTATTTGGACTTTTTCTCTAGCTAATCCTTTCGTCCAAGGATCTACTAAGTTTTCATTAGTGCGTACATGATTCACTCTTACAGCTCCTTTAGAGATACAATCTCTAACAATGTTGTGTTTTCTTCTAATTTGACGTCTTTTACCATTATAATAACGGTTTTTAATTTTTGCAATAGCCGTGGTACTATTGCAGTGGATCAACACAACTGACATTTGATTCTCCCACAAAGGGATCTCTTCTAGCAAGCATCTTAACCAACTTGCTTCTTCATTAGTTGTGGCTAGTGCTATCATCTCAGACTCCATTATGGAGTGAGCCATGATAGTTAGTTTCTTTGATTTCCAAGATACAGCTCCTCCAGCTATACTGAATATATAGCCGCTAGTAGCTTTAGAATCATCCAATAAGGTGTTCCAATCTACATCACTATATCCTTCTAGTACATCATTAAATTTCTAGTAATGTAGACCGAGATCCATGGTCCTTTTAAGGTACCTCATGACTCGCTCAATAGCTTGTCAGTGCTCGTTACTCGGTCTACTCGTAAACTTGCACAACAATACTACGACATATGCAATGTCGGGTCTAGTACAATCAGTGGCATACCTAATATTGGCAATGATGATCGCATATTCTGTTTGTCTAACACTTTCACCAGTGTTCTTATACAATTTCAGACTTGGATCATATGGTGTGCATGCAGGTTTACAGTCAAAGTATTTATATTTCTTTAAGATCTTCTCCACATAAGGTGATTGATCCAAAGAGATTCCTTGTTTGGATCTCGTGATCTTGATACCAAGAATCACACTTGCTTTTCCAAGATTTTTCATATCAAAGTTATTGCACAACATTGATTTCACATTATTAATGGTTTGAATGTTTGATCCAAATATGAGTAGATTGTTTACATAGAGACATATCATAGTGAAATGCAATTTTCAGATTTGTAATAAACGCATTTGTCACTTTCATTCACTTTGTACCCAATTGATATCATTAAGTTATCAAACTTTTCATGCCACTGCTTAGGAGCTTGTTTTAGTCCATACAAAGACTTGTCTAACTTAGAAACCTTGTTTTCTTGTCCATGGATCACAAACCCTTCCAGTTGTTCCATATAGATTTCTTCTTTTTAAGTCACCATTTAAAAAAGTTGTTTTAACATCCATTTGGTGTACTATTAAGTTATAAATAACATCTATTAAAATAAGTACCCTACTGGATGTAATTCTAGTGACTGGAGAAAAAGTGTCGAAGAAATCTATACATTCGCTTTGTCTAAAACCCTTGGCTACAAGGCGAGTCGTGTATTTATCAATAGTTCCATCAGGTTTTAGTTTCTTTTTCAAAACCCATTTACAACCGATTGGTTTACATCCAGGAGACAAGTCTACTAAGTGTCAGGTCTTGTTAGAATATAGAAATTCTATCTCATAATTTATAGCTTCTTGCCATAAATCTGCATCCAGATATGACAAGGCTTCTTGAAGATTTCTTGAATCTTCTTCTACATTATAAGCCGCATAACCAGACCCATAATCTTTAGCAACTCCTACTCTTTTACTTCGTCGAAGTTCTGTTTCTATATTGTCGCCACTTTTTGTGCTTCTTATCACAAGGATGTAACTCGATTGAGTGCCCCCACTTTTTCTCGATTGGAAAGGAAATTTGTCTTCATAGAATTCAGCATCATTTGATTCTATGATCACTTTTGCATTTAGGTCATAAAACCTATATGCCTTATTGTTTGCTGCATACCCAATGAGTGCACATTCATAGGCTCTACTAGCGAGTTTAACTTGTTTCGGATCCGGAATTCTGACATAAGCCAGACTGCCCCAAGTTCTCAAATAAGACAAGTTTGGTTGTCTTTTCTTTAATATATCATAAGGTGAGATCTTACTTTTTGACTTGGGACTTCTATCCAGGACATAGCAAACAGTCAATAAAATTTCCCCCACCAGTGAGGTGCAACACTAGAATTCATCATAATTGCAACAACAAGTTCAGTAAGAGTTTTATTCTTTCTTCTTGCTTTACCATTCATTTCAGGAGAATATGGAGCAGTCGTCTCATGTACAATTC